GAGAGGGCCTTGGGGTGTTGGTCAACAGCTGGCTGAACGTGAGCCAGCAGTGTGCCAAGGTGGCCAAAGTGGCCAAGAGCATCCTGGCCTGTGCCAGCAATAGTGAGGCCAGCAGGACCACGGCAGGGGTCGTCCCCGTGTACGTGGCACCTCAAACACTGTGTTTAGTTTTGGGCCTCTAATGACTCGAAGGGGCTGGAGCGTGTCCAGAGAAGGGCAGCAAAGCTGGTGAAGGATCTGGAGAACAAGTCTGATGAGGAGCGGATCAGGGACCTGGGGTTGTTTAGCCTGGAGGAAAGGAGGCTCAGGGGAGACCTTCTTGCTCTCTACAACTACCAGGGGAAGTTTAGGTTGGACATTATGAAACATTTCTTCACCGAAAGGGTTGTCAAGCCCTGGCACACACTGCCCAGGGCAGCAGTGGAGTCACCGTCCCTGGAGGTATTTAAAAGCTGCGTAGGTGTGGTGCTCAGGGACATGGTGGACCTGGCAGCGCTGGGTTAACAGTTGGACTTAATGATTTTAAAGGTCTTTCCCAACCCAAATGATTCTAGGATTCTACAAAAATGAGGATCTCTCCCCTAACTGGCACTGCAAACCCCACCGCTGGTGTTGGCAGAGGGATGGCTCGGGCTTGCAGAGAGCAACTGGAGAGCATCAACCCCAGCCTGGCAGGTGGAGGGAAAAGCCTTTAGGGCAAGAAAAACTCCTGAGCTCCCTGTATCCCAAGAGAAGGGAGATGGGAAGTAGTGTGTGAGCCCTTCGTGTGCTTCAAATGCAGCTGAGCATCAGCCTTTAATAGGAGAGGGGAGGCTGCCAAAAAAAAAGAAAAGGCAAAAGTAAAAACAGCTGGGAGGAGCCCGGGCTGCCCCTGAGATCAGGCAGGGAGTGGGTCCCACCCTTGCTTGTTTTTTGGCTGGCGGGGAGGAGAAGGGGGAACTGGCCAATGCCGACTGCAACGAGCTGCTTCAAAACGAAAACGATATTCAGAAAGAAATCCCTGATGGCTGTTGGCTGCAAAACACAGGCAGGAGGCCTGGCAGAGGCAAGGGGTGTGCTGTGGTGTTAATGGTCCCGTCCCAGTACCGGCAGGGGGTACTGGTGGGTGAGGGGAGCTGCACGTGAGGGGAGAGGAAGGAGCAAAGACGGGTGAATCTTTGGTGTCTGGCCCCACTGCCACTTTGTTTGCAGAAGCGCCAAGGAAATAAAAAAGGGGGGGGGGGGCGCTTTGTGATGGAGAAGATGATACGAGGGCAAGGCATTCTTTTTTATTTTAGTAACATCCTGTTGCTGTCGTTTCGCTTTGAGGTTTTTCGCTTGCTATATCGAGCGGGCGCCGATCGCAGGCAGGGTGTGCCGGCCCTGCCCCAAAACCTGGTCGAGAACCTCCCC